GGGTCTTGACCTCGACGCAGTTCTCGAGGCCCTGGATCTTCGTCAGGCCGTTCTGCTGGAGCCAGAGGCTCCGCACGCCCGTGTAGAGGCCCATGACGCTCGGCTCGATGCAGCGGAAGCCCTGCTGGTGCAGGTAGAGCTTGTCGTTGACGTGGGGCGTCCGGTAGCCGTCGTGCTTCATGCACAGGTCCACCATGAACTTCTTCGTCATCTCCACGCCGGCGAAGTCGCCGTACATCTCCGCCGACGCCGGGTTCTCGTCGCCGCCGAAGGCCGCCATGGTCGCTGCGGGTGGGCTGCCGTTTTCGATTGCGCTGTGGTGGCGCTCCGAGGTGGATGAAAAGTTCAATAACTCTTTTTTACGGCGCGAGCCGCTCGACGGTCGCGAGGCGGTCGAAGAGCGACGAGACCTTCGCCTTCACCTCCGGCTCGGCGATGCGCGAGATGGCTCCGGCGACGTCGACGGGTTTTGGTTTGCCGTTCGCGGGCGGAGCGGGCGGCGCGGCGGCCGGCGGCGCGGCGGCCGTCGGCCGGCGGCGCGGCGGACCGCGGCCGGCGCGGCGATGGCCGGCGGATCGCCCGCGTCCCAGCCCCGCGGCTCCTCGAGCAGCCCCTCCGCCGCCGCGAGGCGCGCCCAGAGCGCGTCGACCCGCGACCGCACCGCCGGGTCGTCGATGCGAGAGATGGCGACGATGACGTCGCGGTCCGTGGCCAGGATCGGCGGCGGCACCTTGGCCGCCGCGCCGCAGTAGCGCCGCGCGCCCGCGAGCAGCGTCGCCGCCTCCTCGTCGAGGTCCTCGACCTCGTCGGCGCCCAGGCCCGCGAGCGCCGCGGCGATGGCCCCGGCGCCGCGGCGCTCGGACATGATGGCCTGCTCGAGGACGTCGACGAGGCTCGAGGACCACACGAGCTTCTCGTGGCTCCGCACCTCCGCGTCCGCGGCGGCGAGGACCGGCGCGGCGTCGAAGTCCGCGAGCGCGTGCGCGAACGTCGCCGCGGCGGCGGCGCAGCGGCCGAGCGCCGCGCGCGCGTGGTCGACGAAGACGGGGAAGAGGGACATGGGGTCCGACCGCGACTGGCGGCAGCGCCGGAGCTCCACGAGGAGCTCGACGGCGCGCCGCCCGAGGTCCGTGGACACGCCGCACGCCGTCACCGCCTGGGCAGGAAAAGAGTGCGAAATTTTGGAGGCTCCTCTCTCGGTCGTTTTCCACTCGTTTCGGCTCAATTTTGGACGAGCGATCATCGCTCGGAGCGCTCTCGACGCGTAGATGCTTTTTCCGGCGCGCGCGCGCGCGGAACACTCAAGGTGAAGCGAAATGGAAGCACTCTTTTCCCGCCCTGGTCGCCGCGGCCAACGCGCGGTCGATCTTCGCCGTGACGCCCATGGCCGCGTCCGCCGGCGCGACGAGGGCCCCGGCGATCTCCGCGAGCGCCACGGCCTCGCAGACCGCCGCGTCGGCCTCGCCGAGCTCCGCCGCGAGCGCCCCGGGGAGCGGCCCCGCGGCCTCCAACGCCCAGACGTGCGCGAGCGCGTCCGCGACGTCGAGCGCCGGCCGCGCGACGGGTACGGCCGCGTCTAGAGCATCGTCCGCCAGCGCGCCGAAGGCGTCGCGCGCCGCCGGGGTCGGCCGCTTCAGCGCGCGGAGGCTCCGCTCGCCGACGCGTCGCGCGGCGACGGCGGACCGGAGCGCCGCGACGCGCAGCGCGCACTGGCCCAGGAACCGCGCCTGGGGCGACCGCGCGTGGCCGCCGGGCGTCGGCCGCCGCGCCGCGTCCAGCGCCGCGTACGCCTCGTCCGCGCCGCCGCCGCTCCGGAGCGCGGCGCGGAGCGCGTCGCGCGCGCGGCGGTCGTCGCACTCGTCGGCGAGGAGCCAGACCTCGGCCGCGCCGCAGGGGGCGACCCTGTGCACATCGCCGAAGGCCGCGAGCGCCGCCGCGACGCGGGCCCAGTCGCCGGCCGCCGCGGCCGCCCGCAGGTCCCGCACGAGCGACGCCGTCTCCGCGAGCGCGCGCGCCCGAGCGGTGCCCGTGCGCGGCGCCCAGGTCGCGGCGTGGTCCACGGCGCGGTCGAGGTCCAGCGTGCAGCCGCACATGAAGGTCTCGACGCCGCCGAGACGGCCGCGCGCGCCGAAGCTCGCGAGCGCGCGCGGCACGCGCTCGGACACGCGCCGCTCCTCGAGCTCGAGCTCGACGAGGTCCACCTCCGCCGCCAGCGTCGCCCGGAACGCCCCCGGCGCGCCGTCGTCGTCGTCGTCGCCGCCGCCGAACGCCGGCGCGGCCGCCGCGGCGCGCGCGCCGGCGATCGCCGCCGCGAGACCGCCGTGGCCGTCGACGCGCCTGCGCGGGAACAGAGAGATTCAAGTTCGCTTGTTGTTCCGCGCGCGCGCGTTCCGTAAAAAAAGCATCCACGCTTCGAGGCCGTTCCGAGGGATGATCGCTCGTCCAAAGATCAGCCGAAACGAGTGGGAAACGGCCGAGAGAGGAGCCTTTGGGACGTTCGCTCCCTTTTCCCGCCCCGCGACGCGCGGCGCGTAGGGCAGCCGCGCCTCGGCGCCGTCGAAGTCGCCGTCCGCCGGCGGCGGGTAGGCCGCGAGGGACGCGAAGGGCGCGACGGGCGGCGGCCCCGCGTCGAGGGCCGCGCGCTCGACGCGCGAAAACGCGGCGCGGCAGCCGCCCGCGGCGCCCGCGGGCGCCTCGGCCTCGAAGGACGCTAGGGCCCGCCGCATGAGGAGCGCGGCGCGCGCGTCGCGCTCGAGGGCGACGACGTGCCGCGTGCGGCTCCGCGCGCCGAGCGCCTCCGCGGCGGACACGGCCGCCGCGAGCGCGCCGTCACCGGCCGCGTCGATTTCGAGATCGCCCGGCGCGCCCGTCGCGCGGCCGTCGACGATGGCCCGGCGCAACGCCGACGCCGCGGCCCGCGCGGCCGCGTTGGCGAGGAGGAGGTCGAGCTCGCGCGCGGCGTCGTCGGGCGCGTCCGCGCGCGCGGCCTCCAAGACATCAGCGGCGAGCGCCGGCGCGTCCAACGCCCGCGCCTGGAGCGCGTTGCGCGCGGCGAGGAGGGCGTCCGTCGCCCGGAGGTAGCGCCGCGCCCGGGCGCTCTTGGGGCCGCCGCGCGCCGCCGCGAGCGCCGCGGCCTTTTCGAGCGGCGCGGGGTCGCCCGCGACGAGCGCGCCCGCGTCGCCGGTCGCGGGCCTCGCCCGCAGGGCGGCGCCCGTCGCCTCGAGGATGGCCCGGTCGTTGGCCTCGTCGAGGCACAGCGCGAGCTCGACGGCCGCGTCGTCGATCGCGTCGTCGCCCGCGCGGTCGACGGCCGCCGCGACGTCGGGCCAGCGGCCGGCGAGCGCCGCGCTCCGCGCGTCGAAGAGCGCCTCGGCCGTCGCGAGGCACCGCCGCGCCGACGGCGTCGCGCAGGTCGCCGCCCAGCGCCGCGCGTGGTCCAGCGCGGGCCGCAGCCCCTCCGCGTCGCAGTCCGCGAGGTCGACGTTTCCGGGCGCGCCCGCGACGCGGCCCGCCGCCGCGAGTCTGGGCACGTCGCGCGCAATGATGCGGTCGTGGGCCTCGACCTCGACGAGGTGCGCCTCCTCGACGACGGGCGCGAGCGCGCCCGGGGGAAACGCGCCGGCCCAGTCCGCGCCTCCGGTCGCGTCCGACGCGCGGCCGAACGCCGCGACGGCCTCCGCGACGGCGGCGACGCGCGCCACCGTCGCCTCCAGATCCCAGGGCAGGTCCTCCTTGGCCCGCGTCCGCAGGTCGGCGAGCGCGGCCGCGACGCGGACCGCCGCGTCCAAGGCGCCGCAACTCGCGTCGAGACCCGCGTAGCTCGCGCGCGCGTCGGCGATGGCCCCCGTCGTGCACGTCGCCAGATCCAGCGCCCCGGGCGCGCCGAGCGCGGGGCCCGCGACGACCGCGGCGGCGAGCTCGCGCGCGACGCGGCGGAGGGCAGCGCAGCGGCGGAGCAGCGCGCACTCGTCGCGCGCGGCGACGGCCGCGTCGAAGCACGCGGGGCCCACGCGCAGCCTGTCCGCGTGGATCTTGACGCGCTCGCTCTCGGCGAGGACGTCGCAGGCCGCGGCGGCCTGCCGCAGCGCGGCCTCGTCGAGGTCGACGTCGCCCGCCTTCAACGTCGCGCGGAAGCCCGCGACCTCGAGGACGATCTCATAAAGTTGCACCGTCGCGGGCGACCGCCGCCCGCCGTCGAGCGCGCGCAGCGGCGCGTCGTCGACGGCGCCGACGTCCAGCGACCCGACGGCGCCCCGCGGCCGGCCCTCGGCGAGCGCGGCGAGCGCCGCGGCGCGATCGCGCCGGTCCGAGGCCTCGTCCCGGAGGAGCGCGACCTCGGCCGAGTCCACGTCCAGCGCGCCCTTGGTGAGGATGGCGTCCCAGTCGTCCGCGTGGGCCTTGGCGCGCAGGTCGCCCAGCGCGAAGGCCAATTCGTAGGCGTCTTCGACGTCGCGCGACGCGCCTCCCGTCACCGCCGAGACCTTCTTAGCGGCCACGGCCAGCGCCGCGCGCTCCGCGACGGGGTCGAGGCGCGACCCGTCGACGGCGCCGGGCACGCCGACGACCCGCGGCGTCGCCGCGACGGCCTCGCACGCCTCGCGCGCGCGGACGTTCAGCACCTCGACCCGCAAACAGTCCATCTCCGCGCGCGCGCCGAGCACGGCCATGTCGACGACGCCGTCGCCGCCGCCGTCGCCGTGGACGCCGGCCTCCCGGGCGACGACGACGGCGTCGAAGTGGAGGCCCGCGTCCTCGAGGGCGTCGTAGTCGCCCTTCGCGAGCGCCGCGCGCGCGTCCGCGAGCGGCCGCGCCGCCGTCGCGAGCGCGACCGTCGCGAGGCTCGGCGCCTCGCGGCCGCCGTCGAGCGCCGCGAGCGCCGCGGCGAGCCGCGCCGGGTCCGCCGTCCGGTCGCCGACCGCGCCCGAGAGGTGCGCGGCGCCCGCGGCCATCGCCGCGGCCAGCCCCCGCTTCCGGTCCTCGTCGTCCAAGACGCGGCGCCACGCGTCGAGCTCCGCCTCCGCCGCGTCGAGCCAGGACGCTTGCTTCGCCGGCGCCGCGGGGCTCCGGCGGATCGGCGCGCGGAACGCGGAGACGGCCTTCACGGCGACGCGCACGGCGGTCCACCGCGTGTGCTTGCGGACGACGCCCTCGCGGCGCGTCGCGGCCGCGGCCGCGGACGCCGCGTCGAGGTGGTCGCGCGCGCCTCCAAAGTCGCCCGCCGCGATCGACGCCCGGAGCCGCGCGACGGACGCGCAGGCGTCGTAGCGGCGCCGCGCGACGCCCGCGGCCCGGACGCCGGGCGACGCGGCCTCGTACGTTCGCGCGGCCTCCAGGAGCGCGTCCGCGGGCCGCGGCGCGCGCCGCTCGGCGACGTCCGAGACGGCCGCGACGTCGACGACGGTCGCCGCGTCGACGCGGTAGGGCCGCGCCGGGGCCGTCCCCCCGGAAACGCCGCAGGCGCCGAGCGCGGCCTCGAGGGCCGCGACGAGCGCGAGGTAGTCGACGACGTCGCGCGCGGCCTGGGCAGCACAAGGGTGATTCAACGTCGCTTCAACGTGCGTGTTCTGCGCGTTCCAAAAAAAAACATCCACGCGTCGAGAGCGCTCCGAGAGATGATCGCTCGTCCAAGAATCAGCCAAAACGAGTGGAAAACGGCCGAGATAGGAGCCTTTGAAGTTGGGAATGTCGCTCTCTTGTGCTGCCCCGCGCGCGGCCGCGACCTCGGCGGCCGTCTCGTCGACGGACGTCGTCCGCAGGACGTCGAGCGCGGCCGCCGCTCCCGCGAGGTCCGGCGGCGCCCGGGCCAGGGCCCCGCGCAGGTCCGCGATGGTCCGCGCGGCGGCCTCGAGCGCCGCGCAGGCCGCGTCGACGCGCGAGGCCCGGCCGCGGACGAGGGCCGCGTGCGAGAGGTGGTGCCACAGCGCGCGCG